CTCTCTCTCTCTCTCTCTCTCACACACACACACACACACACACACATGCGCAAAAAAAAAAGAAAAGAAAAAAAAAAAAACAACAACTCACTCTCACATACACACGTGTAACGTTCAACCTCATACCCTGTATTGTCTTCCAGTCGGAGTGATTAAAAATGCGGAACAAGCCCTAGAAAAACAGCAAAATGGGGTGTGCCCATGATTTTTGGAAAATTGAGTGCGGGGACACAGACGAAACTGAAATCCCTCGTGTGGTTCCAGTTTTAGTGAGAAACGACCATAGCCACACGGGAAAGAAGTAGCGTGCGCTGCTTTCAAACGTTCGTTTAATCCAAAAAGTATCTTTGAACTTCCATGCGGGCTACTCGACATCTTTTCGAACGGAAAGGTGGGGGTACACACGTGGGATCTCGTTTTCGAATTAAGTCACGGCGCCGTTCGTTACAAAGCTCGAAATCCGATGTGGACGGCCTCGATGTGGTCGCTCTTTCCGTGTGTTTGTCCTCGCCACGTGCCCGATAGTGGAACCTCTTTTCCTAATAACACTCGATGTGGCGGCAATCGGTACACAGAGTATTGGGCCAATGAGGTGCCACCATCGTCCACGAGGTGACAATCAGTTCATTAAAAGGCAATAATAAGGATTACGAGGTAAAGTGAATATCAATAATGACAAAACCAACGCCTACGAATCCTGAGCACTTTGTTGAGGGAGGAAAATAGTAGCGCCTGCCGATCTTGGCGACGGCTTCTCGTACGTCCCACTCACATACACGTGTCCTTTCCTCATTGTATGGAAACAGGAGTGATTAGGATACGGGAAGACGACGCCCAGTCGGATCAGAGTAATCCGCATAAGCAAGACTGATTACATATGTCTACTCAATTCGTTATTCGATCCAAGAAATAAACAGACACAACACTAGGTTCTCATTATCTTCCATCCACAATAAAAGTCGATCCGAGGCATGAGTCTATGCAATCCGATCCAATCAAGAAGAGGACCATCATTTGTTCACGCGAATAGTTAAGCATACATCAAAATAATCATATCAGAATCCTGTTTGTTCCCGTCATCAGAGCAACAACTCAATCGATGCATCTACGGAAATGCCCTTCACCTGACTTGCTTCGATGCTCCTGTGGGTTCATCCAACGAGTTGCGATCCTTAAAGACAAAGTAGGGATAAGATATCACTCATGCATAAACCATCAGATGATAATGAGCAAAGGGAGGGACGGGGCAAGATCACATGAGTTTGTTGGTCTCTCAAATTCAACGATGCTCGTCCTCCCGAGATCCGATCGAATTCAACGAGACGAGCGGGACAGGACCTCAAGAGTTGGTAGGGGCAAAAAAATCATCAAAACATTCAAATATTCATTAAAAGAGAGAGAAAAAAGTTAAGTCGAAAGATGTGGATGGAGCCGTAGCTTGGCTGAAGAAGGGGACTAAGGAAAGTAGTTATGAGCACACAAATAGATTTGAGGAAAAACTGACAATCCTCTGTGGACTTAGCTTCCAAAATAAAGAGAGGAACCAAAGATCAGGTGTGCAATCCTTCTGCTCTCTGATTATGGCCCCAGGTCATACAACCACTCGTACACATACACCTTCCTCATCCAGGTACTAGTGATCCTGACCGCCACATACCAACCTTCACACCACAGCGATCGTCATCCCACCAACTCAGCTTATGCACTCACTTGTCCAGATCCCGCAGTCCGTCCCAGCCATCCGCCGCACAACCTTGCAAAACTACAATCAACTCATCAAGACTTTTCAACCTGCTGTACACACATCATCGAGCCACGACTCCCTGAAGTTGCAAAGAGGAGGATATAAGATGGGAGAGAATGAGGTGGGGGCAGGAGGGAGTGGAGAGAGAATGAGGGTTAATCGCCCGGGGAAAGCCATATTGATCCTCATGAGTTCCTTCGTAGCCAATCAGATCACAGCGTGAGGGGAGTATCCTCCTTTCACGATGTCGTCTGATGGCTCGAACACTCTGGGGGGGATCGGTAGGGAGTTCCAATCCCCACACCCACTAAAAACACACGCCCACCAGAAGCCCATGCCCACTAGAAACCCACACCCGTGGCCACTGGACACCCATGTCCACTAGAAACCCATCCCCACAACCACTAAAAACCCACCTCCACTAGAAGCTCATGCCTACTAGAAACCCGTGCCCACTAGAAACCCACGCCCACTACAAACCCATGCCCATGACCACAAGAAACCCGAACCAACCCCACAACCACCAAAAACCCATGCTCAAAAAGCACGAAGGGGGAGGGGATGGAAAACGGTTACAGGTGAAGGAAAGAAGGCGCGAAGAAGAGAAAGGTGAAGATGGCATGGGACAAAGCGGGAAGCGGGGGAAGTCAGCATGCATGGCGCCGCCATAGAGACAAAAAGGCACCGAAACAGTTATGTTTCGTCCATTCTAGCTGTAAAGCTAATTCAAGATGGAGGAATTAAATAAAGAAGATATCCGCGCGCGAGATTGGACACGTGGAAATCGTACGCTTATTCAAATCCCTATTGAAAATTCACAAAGCCTTCAAGGCCGAATTTAGGAACATTCACTTGCAAGAAAGGACACGTCAACGGGAAGTGCGGCCGCAAGTTCTGGAATTCCCAACTGTTGAACAAAATTCCTAGCGTGCTCACTAAGGCGAGCATACGTCCTACGTAAATTAATGGATCACTGGAGATAAATTGCGAAAAAGTCCAAGAAAAACAACAAGTCTTAAAAGTGGGAAGACCTTGTCGGCAATTGATTCCATTTATCATTCACCAACCAAAAAGAATGGTACCCCTAAAGCCCGAAAAAGCACGAATTAGGAAAACTTAGGGCTTCAGAAGTTCGTTCAGGTACAAAAGCTGGTACGTCACACACGTGCACACACGCAAACACACACAGTCTTTTTTTTTTCTCCCAAAAAGTTATGCTTCAGTGCACTAGAGGAGGTGATATGAGCATCCCCCTGTCTATTAGTGGGGAGCAGCACCTGCTGGAAACTGGTTTCAATGTCCCACGAATATGATCTTGGAGTTGTGTATAGCGAACGTGACAAAACATAAACATAGCATAATCACTACCTTGCCCTTCCCCAACCACATCAACAAGCAAACTACGGGTTGTGCACCCGTGCCCTCAATACATGGGCATCACATGAGTTCACCTCTACTGGAGGAAACAAGGGCCTC